CTTTCCCTAAAACACTTTCTGATATCCTCTTGGCTTCTAGTGGCTATCCTGGTCTAACTTCTAGTGCAGTAGCTGTTTAAATCCTCCTAGGTCTTGAAACTCATAAGTAGGTTTGCTGGGAGGGCTGTTCATCTGAGTAGGATTGTGTACACAGGATCACCAGACTTTGAAGAAAAATAACCTGAGCAAGTAAACAGACACAGGGTCAGATAACTGAAAAAGGGGAGGGGGAAAAAAAAAATCAGAGTAAACCAGATAACTTAAAAAAAAAAAAAAACCAAAACAAAAACAAACCCAACCCAAAATTGTGGGCAAAAGAAAATAGGAAAGCATAAAGCTGAAAGAAATCCTGTTTTAAAAACCACACAGACATAATTTGAGAAAAGAAAGGGAGAAAGAGATGGCCAAGACAAAAAAATGGGCAAGGACAATGGAAAAGAGAACTAGAGCATGGGGGAGAGAAATCAGGAAATGATGAAGGAGAGAGGGGAAAAAATTTAACGTGACCTGAAAAACTCTGCCCTGTTTTTCTGTTTGCAGTATTTTTCTGGTGAATGCTGCCAGGTTTGTTAATGTTGCAGAGGAGAAAAGGAGGTTAAGCAGATGAAAGAAAAGGGGAACTATCGCATAAGCACTTGTCCTGTACGCTCCATAATCCACCAGAAAATGCTAATGATGTATTTAAAGAAGGTATATGATGGTCTGTAACTTAGTTTCAGGTCAGCAAACCTTAAATGTTTATAACTCTGTGTCTGACTGAAGTTAATGACAGTAATTTTTCTCATTACTCTCCTTGTTTGTGTTTGTCGTCCATAAGTGGCTTTCCTTTACAGAGGCTACAGTATGTATTTTTAACAGCTGTTTAATAAATGTTGCCTTTGTTTCTAAACAAGGTAGTCACAGCTGACACTAGCAGACTGAAAACCTGGTAGTACTGAAGGAATTCTATTTTCCTTCAGTTTTAGAAAGGAAAAAAAACCACAGAAAATCATGTTGCCCTGGAGTAATGTTTGTCTTGCTTGGGTAAATTCTCAGTGTTAAAGCTTGTTTTTATGATACTGTGGTAATGTATTTTGAGGATGCTCAAGTAAATCTGTTGCTGTTCTTGGTGTCATGCTATGTTTTGCTGTTTAATTGTAACCCTTCTCCAAGGCACAGATTGGCAACAACAGAGCTTGCTTTAATTTAATTGGGCTCTTGCTAAAATTGTTACACAAAACTGGCTTGACCCTCTCCCAGAAGTCTGGGAAATTCAATTACGCTCTTTGAATGCTCAAGAATGAGCAATGCTTCTCTGCTTGTGAGCACAGAGTTAAACAACAGTTTTAAACAAACAGAACTTCTTGTAGGGGAGGAGAAAAGCAAAACCAATACATCTATTTGGAAAACCTGAACAATTCAAAGTACACAGGACTACTGCTGCCAAGACTGTGTTGGCAACAGGCCTGGCCCAGTCTTCTGCTAGCTGTGAGTAACTGGTAGCCCCTCACTTCTCTCATCACCAGTTGATGTTTGAGGCTAGAAGAGTCCAGCTGAGGTACATACTGAGAACGTTTCGTTTCTAGGCTTCTAAAACTTACCCCAGCTTAAGCAGTCACTGTACTGCTGTTGAATAGCTTTAGGCTGTCGATCTTTCCTAATTCCTCCCTCTTCCTTACTGGGTTCAACACTGGCCCTTCTGTTCCACTTGGCTGCTTCTCAGCACAGCCCACGTGGTATTTTCATTGTTTTAGAAAGGGGTCAATCACCAGAATCCATACAAAGATGTTACAACAGAAGGGAAACTTCCTGAATAGAGGTGGTTATTTTTTTAAATTTTTGTTTTCTTCTCAAAAAGCTCTTGGAGCCTTTTTTGCCTAGGGCTTCTTAGTAACAGTGTTGCAATCTGTGGCAGTGAGTTGGGTTAGTATTTTTCAAACTGGGGGTCAGGAAGGACTTGGAGGTAGCTGTGCATTGCTCACAGTAGCCAGCAGACAGTTTTAATTGTTGACAACAGTTCATTTTCTTCAGGGCAGAAGTGAGCTGCTAATTATACCAGATTTTCACTCCCCTGTCCTAGAGGAACTGGGTTGATACCAGCAAATAAAGCTAGTTACCTGTTCTCTGGGTGGGTATAATGCTTTTGTGGAGAGAATAAAGGGAAAAAAATAAAGACTTATTTTGATTTTATTTATTCAAATAAAGATCCCTAAGGGAGGGTGACCTTTCAAAAAGTTTGAGAAATGCTCAATGTGATCTCTCATCCTGGACACAGATCAGGAAAAATTTGGATATTGAGACCATATTTTCCCCAACTTTAAAAAGTACTGTTAGTAACGGGAATGCCCCAGGATGTTCTAAACTGCTGCAAATTAGGTCTGGACTGTTCCAGTCATCTCCCATTACTTTCCAGTAAATACCAATAGTGTTGCTGTAGCAGTGAATGGAAATTCCTGGAGCTTCTTGAAGGAGCCTTTCTGGATAGATATCCATAAAGCACACCCATGTTTTCCACCTTGCTTCCTGCAGTGCTGGTGTATGAAAAGCAGAGGGGTGATGCCACAGGCATGTTTGGATTTTGAATGTTCCTTCATTGCTCCAAGATCCTTTAGGTGATGTTGCCAGCTAGCATAAGCTAGAGGAGCCTGAAAGCAACTCTAATCTAGCATGGCAGAACGGAAAGCACTGGTGAGCTTTTAGCTTTCCCTTTTCCCCTGTCCTCCGTGGTCCTGGGCAGTGGAGGGAAGAGGGTGAGCTCCTCAGATATTCCCCAGGGCTTGTCCTGCTGGCCTGGGGTCAGTCTGTTGAGGGTGATTCACAACTGAACGGATTCCATGTGGTCTGCTGTCAAAGTAGTTCTGCTGCAGGTACCAGCTTATTCTAACACTGCTGTCCTCTTCCCTCCACTATCTAAATTAGACTGACAAATGTTTTGCCAGGAGACTTTCTATCTGCAGTGGGAATTGTGTGCATGGTAGGTGCTTTGGTGGCCTTGACCTCGTAGTCAGGTCTTGACCTACGTAGTCAGCCCTGACTCTTGTAGTCAGGCAAGGTAACTAGCAGTGGAGCAGCCAGAACTCTTCACTCCATTTCTCCTGCAGTGCACTGATAGCTTGGCAGGCAAGGGACAGCAGCTATTTTGGGTGCTCCCTCTTCATGTAAGAGCCAATGATGAGATTTTATAGGAAGCAATGGGAAAAAGTGAGGGTGGGCAGAGTGTAGTCACACAGCTCATGCTAGTTCTTCCACTTAAAAATTTCAAGCCTGGCTGAAGACCAGTGTTTGCAATTAATAATCAAACATGCATTTTCATTAGCGTGACTGCCTGCAATAGGCTGAATAATCCTGACTTAAATATTTACTTGTGTATGTTTTTCTAAATGTCTCCGAAGTAGCTTTGCAAGCCGCTCACAAGGATTGCTTTGTCCTTTGCTGATTGTTCTGCCTCTGAGTATTTATCAAAATTGTGCTGCCAAAAGCTGGCAGAGAGAAATGATCCAGCTTGGAATTTAGCTTGGATCCTATAGCAAACATTCTTGCAAGAAAACTCCTTTCTTGCAAAAGGAGTTTTAAGTGAACATGAGTGGGCAAGGACTTGCTTCTGGTTTTCCTGCAAAAGATCCTTTGTTTAGACCATTCCCTTTAGTTGCCTTTTAAAGCTGACTAGAAGAAAAGAATGCTTTGAACTAAGCCGTTGCCTGAACTCCGTTTATATGCGTAACTGTTGTGGTCATGGGGACAGAATTTTTTCTTGTCACACCAATTAAATGAAGTGCACATATTTTTTGTAATTTGTGTTTGTATTTGTTGCATAATTCATCAGAGGATGAAGATGTGAATTAGAGGAATATGAATGTGTACAACACCTGTAGAAAAGAAACATGTTTCTAGGACCATTACTTTGCTCTGCAGTAAAAAAGTTGAAAAAACGTTCTCTAACAGCCGGACCAGAGAGCTCATTCTAGATGGATTCTCAGGAAAAAAAAACAATTTCTTGCCCACAGGGATTTCGTTAGCTCGTTAAAATGAATGTGGTTTGAATAGGATCCTGAAAGTCTAACTGAGCCGAAGACTTACATAGTTGTAACTTGAGATTGGTCCAAGTTGGTGATTTTTAACTTAGCAGTGGCTGTGGACAGAAAACCCAGCTGGCAGACTGTAGGAATACTGACCCCCATGTGAAGAATAAGCGGGTAGCGTTGCAGATGTGAACTCATCATGGAGTTCCTGGGAGCCAGTCTGAGTGCAATGACCTTCAGAAAGAGGATGTGTCCAAATCTGGAGAGCCGATTGCCTCTCCTCAGATGAGGGTTAAATTGTTTCTTACAGCAAAGGTTAACTGGGAGAGCAAAGTCCATTCCTATAAGGTTGAAATACCTGCTAAACCGTTCTTTTGCAGATGTTTTTGGCATTCATATGGGTAGAAATTGTCTTAAGCTGCTGCATATATTCAGTTCAGCCAAGCTGGTGGAGCAATAGGGTTGTGGTTGTCTTGAGAGACCAACCCTAGAAGTGATCGTTTGGTTTTTTTTTATTCAAACTGTGGTGTGCCTGGGGGCTACAGCCAAGGTCAGGGTTGAATAAAACTGGCATTTTTTAATAATGAAACCTGTAACTACTTTAGTGTTTACAACCTGTATTTTGCTACTGCTCTTACTTTGCTACTCACAAGCAAGTCTGACTGAAATTTTACATGGAATAGTACATCTCCGGTACTTTGGCCTGAGGATTAAGACAACTTTGCTCCATTCATGTGTCTCAGTGTTTCATCTGGTTCAAAGCAAAGTCCCTCAGAGTAATGCGAAAAATTAACAGTCCAAAATTACAGCTATCAATGCAGTGATTTTTTGCTGTCTGGCTGAGGCTTTAGAACTGGGCATCTGACTGTCATCAGGTTTTTAATTCTTTTGAAGCTACTCGGGTTTGAAATGTCCTCTCAGCTTGTTAGTATCTGAGCTGCAAATCTGTTCTGTGTTGTCTGCTCTGCTACAGGTGTCCTTGCCTTGACAAGGAAAAGCGTGGCAGGAGCTTTGTTGGGCAGTTAGCCAAAGTGAACGAAGTGCTCAAAAGCCAGCCAAGAAAAATACAGCTTTGAAGATATCACCGCTTCTCCAGGCAGTTGCAGATTAGAATATGTAACTGTTTCTACTGATCATTTTTAAACCAAGAGTTGACAAACTTGGGTATATCTGGAAAAATGTATTGAGTGAAATTTTACATTTTTCCTTCTAAATCATAAGAAAATTACATTTTTTTAATAAGAATAGGACTGAGACCTAGGGAACTGGGTAAAGGTTTGCAGCCTTTGGGTTGGAAAAGCCCAGTAGTTATGGGATGGGGACCTAGCCCACAAGTATTTGCTGAAAATAATTGTGCCTGGATGCCCATACACAAAAACGGGTGCCAGTCTTGGCAGCCAGGAGGCTTAGCTCCCACCGAAGCTGCAGCATGACCCTACATTTTGATGAAGAAGCCAGTATGCTTTGTCCAGCTCCCAAGAGCGGACAGATCTGCTGAGCGTAATGTGTCAGCGAGGGCGTTTAAACCAAGGAACAGCAACTCTGTTTAACCCAAGGAACAGCAACATACTGTTTTGCCCAGTAGTCTAACAGAACCGGTGGATCTGGACTAGATGGCCTCTGCAGACTGAGGAGATTTGAACGCATTTGGAGAGTCCCATAACCGCTGGATAGGAGAAGCCAAGCTGGTGTAAGGAGGTTAGCAAGAGTCCTAAAAGGAGAGCCAGCAGAAGGTGACCTAACTAGAAATTAGTGCTTTGGGGACCTGTCTGGAAGCGGGCAGGGGAACTGTGTTACAGTCCTTCTTTCTTGGGCTTTTTAGATAGTTTTCAATACAGTCATGGCTTAAGAAAAACGATTACAGGAGCCCAGGACCTGTGCTGCTGGCTGTGACCCTAAGACCTCCACTGCTTGCACAGCAAAGGTGGCTTGTGCCCAGCCAGCGTGAGGGTGTTGGCACGGTGCGTCCAGCCTTGGCGAGTTAGAGCCAAGGCTGCCATTTCTGCGTTGTTGGGGCATAGCCACGCCATTCGGATGCAAACTCTGAAAGAAGGCTCTGGAGGAAAAATACCGATTTGACATGGGTCAGACTGGATTGGTGCCTCTGTCTTGCTCTTCTCAGACAGAATCCCATCTGCTTTTCATATACCGTCTTGACCCGTTTCAGGGATACTGTGCACTGTTGCTTGTCACAACTGCCCTGAAGCACGTAATGCTTCCTGTGCGTTGTAGGAGGGGACGGTTGCAGCCTGGATCAGCTTCCCAAATCAGGGCTGCACTCTGGGATTTGGGCGTTCAAAAGTTAGGATGCTATAAATTTCATGTCCTTTTTTGGATGGACTTCAGTTGCATAATATCATGGTTCCCCATCTGTAAAGTAGGGAAGGTATTTATTTTACCAGAAGGGAAGGTATTTATTTTACAGGAGTGTGGGGGCTGCTTGTAAGGTGCTTTGGCTAGGGGAACAGTATGTGATGATGATTATTATTTTGATTAAATATAGATATCTGAAGTGTTGTAGCTTAGGCTGGAGTTGTAAACTAGACCTATCTTTAGTCAAGTGAAAAAGGAGTCATCTCACCTAAATTGATACAGATGGCTACAACTGAGAAGGCTGTCCTTGTTGGGGGGGGAATAGCGAGTTTTAGGGCGTGATCTGTTTCAGACATCTGCTTCGGGATGAGATGAATTGTGCCCTAGACTGCAGTGACTATAAGGAGACTTATCTTAGCTGTAGGTATCTGCATCAATTTAGATGAGATGATGCCTGCATCGCATCACTAAAGGCAGATCTGATTTGCAACTTCAACCTGAGCTGATAGCTCTTGATGGCTTTCTTCACTAATTGCTATTTCGTGCTCTGTGTTTTAAAAATACCATGGAAATGAGAGGCCGTGTGACAGTCAGAGCCTGTCCTGGGTTTTGCTGTTGGCTGTGCTACAGGCTTAGTCTGTGGCATCTGGTAGACTGTTTAACCTGTTAGTATTTCTGTTTCCATGCAAGGCTGAGAATCCTTTGCTGCTGTGCTCGCCTGCTTAAACTGGTGAGGGGGAGGAAGGTGCGTAAAAGTATATCATGCAGCAGCCCGCGTAGCACAGAGGCTTTGAATTTAATGAAGGTGGTTGGTGTGTCAGCCAGCTCTCCTGACCTCTGACTGGGCATCAAAAGCTTTTATGGCTCTTATGATCCTGGTGCTATAAATTACCTGGGTAAGCCCACGTCATTTAACACATTTTTATATCTAGCAAATTAGCAGATCTAGGCAAGTTACAGCTTTTCTGTTTCACTTCAGCACTTACACACCCACCTAAATGTAGAAATGAAGCAGCGTAACGTAATGTACCGTTAAGGCAGAGTGGCATGCAGGGGGTTATAACTTAGTGTTTTCCCTTATTCAGTGGGTGGGTTGATGCTGCTAGCAAGATGTCTGAAAAAGAAATGCAATGACTTGGCCAAGAACAATACAGCAGGATCTCAACTCAAAGCAACCTCTTCCATTTAGCCGGTGCAATGTGACAATGCTCTTCGTGCCCATTCGGGTTGAGTCTGGAAATTTAAAAGTCAGGTTACCTTCCTCAGGCTGACTGTATAGCTCTCAGTTTTTGTTAGTGCTGCTGGTCATTCCTTCTCCGTCCTCGCTGAGATGTAGTTTTAATGCCATTGCTAAAACAGCTCAAAAGTAATAGGATGTGACATTTCAAAGTACCACTGGCTTTTAACAGTTGTATGTGTTTTACAGTCTCCTGATGATTAGCTACGAAATCTGTCCCACGGGCCACGTTCTGCTGGCAGGAGGTGTGGCATGCACTGCTCCAAGCGGGCTGGTGGGAGCTGCGGCCAGTGATCATCTTGGTCTGCCCGCGTACGTTTCTTATATTGGTTAGCACAGTCCCCTCAATGTAGTGCTGTTTATCTTAAAACGCCTTTTGTTTCGTGTTCTTGTAACACAGTGCAAATGTTCTTTTGCACAAAGCTCACTTATGATGCCTTTTGGGAATGGGGTGGTTTCTTCTGGGAATGGGGGTGGAGATGGGAGAGCGTGAAAAACATTTCAACCTTACAGATACAGAGTGTGCAAAGAGTGGAGGCCGTGGGTTTATAATAATCTAAGGTGGTGGAAGAACCAGATCCTTAAAAGCGACCTAAGACCCATGTCAAGTTGATTTGTCATTTGTTCTGCAGTTGGTTTCCTGGAGACATGAGGAGCGTAAGGGGTTAGTGCTTTGCTGGTCACTTGAGCCTTCTGATCTGTCTGTCTAGAGGGGAAAGAGGGTATTATTAGTCCTTATGCAAATTCTGTTTCTTTGTGGGGGATCAGGGTTCCCCCTCCTGCCTCTCTGTCCTTTTGATACAGAGATTGCTGCAAGTCCATGAAGCTTACCTCAGACTACAGCCCCTGGATTGCTTGTGGTGACTGGCTGCCTTCATTGCACTGCCTTCGGATGGCAGGTGTCGGGCCAGTCCTCTGCTTGGAGGAGTACGCAATCAGAGCTGTACCTAATGATGGCTGTTGAAACCTTTACTTTGTTTTTGTTAGATTTTTCTTTGGACTGTGGAGGGTTTCCCTGCTGAGCTGTCAGGCTTTGGATGGTTTGTTACTGTACCTCTCTTGGTTTCCCATCTGCAATCCTTCCCTCTGCCATTCTTTGTCGTGTCTGTCTGGAATAAAAACCAACCGCCACCGCTAGTGAGTGCACACAGTGTGCAGGATAACTAGTGTCATCGGGCACCCGTCTTCCTGGGGATTTGTACGCTCTAAACACACAGCAGAAGACACTCTGATTGAAGATGTTTAGAAACCTGTGTAAGAATAGTTAATTATTTAATCATTTGATAACACAGTCTAAAAAGACTTGTGGAAATGCAGATACAAAACAGTATCAAGGAAGAGTTAGCGTTACCGAATATTGACCGTGTGCAGAGTGATCATGTCAAACCCTGGTTGATGTTGCGTAGAATTTTATTTTTAATTTACTTTTTTTGTTACTCAGAATTGCTCTGAAATTTTTGTTGTAATTAAAACTTACAATCTGATAAGAGTTCTTGTCAAATACGCTTTGCGGAAACTACACTGCAGGGGTTTTCTTGAGGCTGTAATAATGTAACTAATTATGGAAGTCGGGTTAGCATTGTTAAGCTCACCAAAATCCTGCCTGCTTGCACCAGCCGATGGGCTAAGTTTTATATCTTCTGAAATGTGGGAGCTGTTTTTAAGGCCCAGAAGTCAATGGGACATGCGATCGTGAAGAATGCAAGGTTGGTTGTGCTCACCATCCCTCTGTTTCAAGGTGTAGTTGTTGCTCTTTAACAGGCTGTTGAGTTGGAAACCGTGGCTTCGGATGAGTCACTTCAGTGCAGTTCTCTCACGAACGTGCCTGAGAGACTATTGCTGATGTTTTTTTCTCTTCCCTTCAGCTAGTGAATCGGCACTTGTATTCAGGAAGCGCGGACAGGACAGTGAAGTGCTGGTTAGTAGACACTGGGGAGCGAATCCAAACGTACAAGGCTCACAAACACAGCGTTAGCACTTTGAAATACCACGCTGGGATCTGTAAGTTGCTTTTGCTATGTTCAGCAATCCCTTGTCTCCTTTTCAATGTTTGTCTTTGATCAAAGATTGTTAATAGAGAAGCTTATAATTTTGAAGGCTTGCAAAATTGTCACTTTTTTCAACTCCAGCATGTTTATGCTCAGTATCAAACTCCACTGCACTGCTCCACGTGGGAAGCTTAGATCTTCCCTCCATTTTCCACCTCCCTCTTCTGGCAAATGAAGAGGCAGTTGCTTTATTTCTGTTACCAAGGGAAGCGGCTTAAATCCTGAGCTGTCTGTGGGTTGTTTGTATAGCCGTGGTTTAACCTTGCTAGTCTGATGTCTGTCAGGCTGCTTCTGCTGCATACTCGGGGACAGCAAGTGCTGCTGCTGGATATGCAGCCTGTGCCTGCCTCTGCTGCCTCGTAGGTACTGTGTAATGGACTGTCCTAAACCAGAATCACATCTCAGATGCTCACGGCTTCTTTCTAACAGTGAGGCTTCTGTTCAGGCTCTGGCCATCTCCTAGACTCCTTTTCCACAAGTTCTTTCCCTTTATCTGTCCTCTTTCATGTAGTTGTTCCCCAAACCATCTTTCTGCAGTAGCCAAGCATTGCTTGCCTTACTAATGCTTGGGACTCAGTTCCCCTACTTTCAATCCTCCTGTTAGTAGTGATATCTTCACGTAACTGTCCGCTGTTAACATAACAGTATATTCTGACCATGAAACCTCCTCTTTAAGTTGCTGTCTTGGTTGGCTTTCCTTCTGCACGTCATCTTTGCGTTTCTGGGTTTGGGTTGCAAGACTGTGCCTCTGTTTTTATCAGCCTGAACCTCTCTGTGTATCATCCTGGCCTTATCCTGCCACTGGCCTTAGACCTGACGTGCCTTCATTTGCTTCGCAAACAAGTACTTCTCTTCTTCAGGGTAACCGGGATGGCAACGCCTGTCTTAATCTAATCTAGAAATTTGCAACGCTTTTCTGATTTTGATTTCTGTACTTCAGCTGTGAAGCGAATGGGTAACGCCAAATGAATGGTTGCTATTTGGGCCTTGACATCTCTTCTGGCAGATCATCAGAGCGATGGTGATAAATGGCTGACAAATGCAAGATGGTTCACATTAGAAGAGAGTTGTACCTGCCCAGGCAGATGATTACAGTTTAATGGCAGTTGTCTAGCACCATGCTTGACATGGCTGACTGACCACATTTATAAACCAGTAACTGAATTGATTTCTTAATTATGTTTGGAAACGCAACGTGTAACCAAGCCCATAGGTAGATTTTGATTTTAATCAGGAAGCCTTTTTTTGGTCTTCCTTTGAGCATTAGACCCACAGCACTACTTTTCTCCATTGAAAACAGTTAATCATGATTTGCAGTTAATTTCATCTCTCCTCACCAATATTGCAGAACTACCCCACTCTCCCCTACCTGCAGGTTATAATTTCTGCTGATTTCAGCTTTTGCAGTTGGCTAGAAGGCTGAAATGGAAGGCGAAAGAGTCTGCGCTTACATTGTACCCTGAAGTTATTATTGCTCAAAGATGCAGGCAGGTAGGACAGGGGAAATGAACAAGAAATTTTAAACCAGTATGAACACTGGCAAACAAAATACTGATTTGGTGTGTTTCCCCCCTTTTAATTGTAAAGATACAAAATAAAACATTGAATTCATCAGGACTACCCAAAGGCGAGATAACTGTGCTAAGCTGATGTTGGCCTGACCCAGTGAGGAGTCTTCATGTCAGGCTGGGAGATGGAGAAACTGTCTCCTTCATTAATGAGACCTCCAGCGCTGCGTGTGTTCAGTGTTGATCCTGCTTTTCATGCAACCAGTGTAGGCTGGACCAGGCTCTCTAAAACCGTCATAAAGAAAGTTTAGGCTCAAACAAAAGTTTCATTATCTGATGCCACCCCCATCAGCTCTGCAGCTTTCTCTCTCTTCCCCCTCAGCCAACCACCCTGTCCCTCCCATACACATACATTATTTTTCCATAACACTCTTTTTTTCTTAAAATGCAGGCAATATTGCTGCATTTAGTCAGACCTGTGAAGAACATCCTGATAGTGTGATGGAAACGTTCACAGAGTTATTTAAGATCTCATTTTAAATCAAATGCAAAAATACTGGAAGTGTCAAACAGGGAGAATCGAATTGTTCGATTGAAGGGCAGAAAAAAGGTCATGGAAAAATATTAGGGACTTGTTTGAATTTAATTTAGACACATTTTAGTGCTTGAAAGAGGAAATTTCCCCTTAAAAATGAATTTATATACTGTGATTGCTTGCATTGTTGTAATATGTTGTAATTCTAAGGGAAACAAAACTATTACGTACTGTGTAGATCAGTGATCAAAGACACATTCACTGGATACCAAATGTTGGAGCTAGTGTAGTTTAAATTCTGGCTGTTCACCTGGGACAGATCAGCACTGTGTGTCCATTCTCTGTCTTTTAAAAATGTGGAGAAAATACTTCAGTATAAATGATGCTTGTTATGGTTTATGTCACATTTGCACCAGCCCAAGAACATGGCAAGAATCTCAGCTGAGAAGTATAACCTTCCGTTAGCGAGCAACAGAATTAAGATCTATCTGATCAGTACCCAAAGGCTCGTTTCCCCAAAGAGTCTACCATCTAAATATGAAAATATAGTAGAAGAATGAGAGGAAAAATATATGTGTGTTTCCAAAATGGCTTTATATTGTACAGGGAGTCCCGACAGATCTGAGAGCTATGCTTTAAATCATCAGAATGTGTTTCTAGTGGCTTTCCTCAGTCTGCTTGTGGAATTAATAGCATGGGGAATATTAAAGCTGGTTCTCAATCTGATTTACTTAATGATATTATGTTGGTTATTTCTCTCCTACAGTATGTGCACAATCGTTTAAAATTTAATGCGGTTTATATATTTTCATGTTGCAGAAGCTCCAAGGGAACATTTAAAACCTGTTCTCCCTCCCAAGAGTCTCTGAAATTTAAGTAAAAAATAAAAATGAATTGTTGATTTTGGGGGTTTTTTGTTGTTTGTTTGTTTCACAGGTGGTATATATAAGCATATATTCAAATGCTAAATCTGGGTTAGATCAACAGCTCTCCTTTGAAACTCAGAGGTGCAAAGAGACTTCCTAAATCTAGAGTGACAGTTCAAAAGACATAAAGGATGTCTGTCAGCAGCAAAATCTTGATAGCGATAGCTAAAGTCAACCGACAGCTGTGTAGTGAAAACAGCTCTTAATTGGTTCCTACTCTGCATGTGTGTAATAGTATTAAGTGATTTCCATTCACTAGAAAAAAAAAAAATCTGTCCCTTGTTCCCTGCTTTACATCGTTGTTCCTCATTTGCAGAATGGGACGCAATGCTTTTTCAGGATTGTGTTGGCAATTGAATTTATAGTGGCCCATATAAAATGACATTGATTTTTCCACATCCAGACGTTTCTTGAAGGCGTACCCAGGAAGGACCCAGCCTCCTGCTGTTTAATTTGAAGTTGAAAAGCTGATGGCAGTAGGTAGCCTGTTCTCTCGTCTCTTGTCGTAGTCCTTGAATTTACTGCCGTGATAATTTCTTCACCTCTCTTTAGGAATCCAGTGCCTGACTTCTCCCAAAAGACAAGGAATCTGTTGTCTTCAGGCAGTTCAGTTTTGTAAAAATTTTTCCATGCTAGTGGCTTTTGCAAAGACATGAAATGCAGGGAGCAGCGAATATATTGCTTTTTGCAGTTCTAAAATATTTATTTCTAGATAAACTTGAGGAGTTTGGGTTAAGTGAAGGAAAGTGAGTGTTTATGAAGACAATCGTAACCCTCAAAGCACACAAATGTGCTCCTTTGGGGGCATATTGCTAAGCATAAAATCTAAATATTCAACACTGCCTTACAGTTCCCGGATGCAGCAGTTCTGGGGATCTGAAGTGTTGAGAAATTGTTCTTCAAACACGTTAAGATACCCTAAGGAAACCTGCTGAAGAGCCAAAATCCCTGGTCACGCTTAATTTACTTAAACCCCTCCCCCCTTTTGTAGCACGTGTACAATATAGCCCGAGAGTTACAGCCAAAACCCTCAAATAATTCTCTGCCATACTGAAATAGAGATTACAGCTTGGGTCTTGAATCACTTAAAGGCTCTACAAAGCTGATCTGTGCTTGCAAAGATCCTAAGCTACAGGATTTAGCTGAAGAAATCTACCCCACTGAAAGAATTTATAAAGCTTCTTTGTAAAGCTGCCTGCACATGCCACTCACCTCTGAGGGCAGACAATTTAACTGTGGTATTTCAACAGAGATGGCCATACCTATTGATAGTAAGCTTAAGGTTGAAAATGGGGGGGAAAAAAAGGGTATGTTTGAATGAAGCTAAGGCCAAATTGATATTATTAGTGTCATCAGAGGTGGTAATGCTGTTACTGTGGTTTGCAGCTCCGCTGTACAGACGCTTCTGCTGCTTGATGCAGCAGCAGAAGTGATGAAGATACTGTAGTACTGAATGGAAACCTGGAAATAACTGTGGTAAAACAAATGGAAGGCTTAGTGGAAATCCTTAAAGCCAGACTTGAGATAAATTGCCTGCTTAGAATTATTGAGGCATGTTTAGGCAGGGAAATATGCGTGGAAGAGAAGAGCAGAAATAGATATTTGAAGTGTGTGTGGAGTGAAATGCTGATGTATGTAGGAACTTCAGGCTTAAGGCAGTTCAGTGAAAAACATGAATGAAAACAAGCATGCTGGGGTCAGCGAAATGAAAATTATCTGGACTCGCAATAACCGAGAAGAGAATCAAGCCCAAAAATGATACGTCATGGTCCTTTGTCAACCAGTGTTAGGTACGTTTTGAGCTCGCATGAACTGACCTTACGTGGCTGCTGACATCTGGCCGTGTGCTCTGTTGTGTGGTTGCGTTGCAGTGTTCACGGGAAGCGGTGATGCCTGCGCGAGAGCTTTCAATTCCAAGAGCGGTGTCCTGCAGAAGATCTTTCGAGGGCACAAGTTCATCATCAACTGCATCCAGGTCAGGAAGGGGTTTCTTTTTGCTGGGATTTCTCACTTCTGATTGCTCCCTCATTTGGTTTGTGGGAATTGGTGTGGCTAGCTGCTCTGTGTGTCTTGGGCTGGATGTTGTGCTAGGGTAAGACGAAAAGTAACGGACTTGAATATTCCTTTTGTAATTTTAGACAAACTCGATAATAATGAGGATAAGTGAAACCACAGAACGAGACCGCAGAGACAGTCCTTTGTGTGTGATTGGAGGTTTTTCAGGTCGGGTTAGACAAGCAACCATAAGAAATGAGACAGATGTAACTGATCCTGTGTAGGGGCAGGGAGTGGACGCCAACCTCATGAGACCCCCTTCCGTTACAAGACACTGATGATACGTGTGTGCAGTGCTCTAGGCAGAGGAGACGTTCCTGCTTTATCCAAGCAGAATAATACACAGTGTTATACCCCTAACCCCCCGGGCGCGGCATCCCTCAACAGGCTAGCGACTGCTCACCGTCCTTTCTGATCTTAGGGAAGAGCTAGTGGTGATTTCTATGTGCTACCCTGTATATAAACGTTTATATAAAATATTGCCATCAGGATCTGTTTTTCTGAAGGTATGAAGATGACAAAGAAGCTCGGTATTGATGTCTGACCCGCATCCTACCGCACAAATGGAAATGTCTCTGCCACTGGCCTAAAATTTTTCTGAACGTTAATTAAAAGTCCTTGAAAAGTTGCTTGCATATTGTCCAGGCTCGATACTGGTGTTTAAAAGTTAAAAGGGGAGGAATTAGTAATCTTTGGTGGCAATGCAAAGACCAGTATCATGCAAGGAATCCTGGGGGGAAAGCTTGAATCTTTACATGCTTTGTGCAAGTAAGAGTCCACATCTCCCTGCATCAGGATCTCGGCAAAAGCTGCGTGCGGGAGGAGGATTTTGATGAAGGACATGAGACACTGTGAGTATTTCTGGCAGGCTGACAGTCGAAAGGAAAAGGAGAGGGGATAAGATTCCTTTTGGAGTTGATCCCAAGCGTACAGAGTTGTAAATAGGGTTGTCTTTTGTATATTTTTGTGAATTAGCAAGTAGCTAGTTGGTCTTAAACTGCAAACTCTTGGGTATCGACCAGTTGGCTGTGGAGCAGGTGGTCACCTGGATGTATTTGGCTGATAGCGGATACGATCACTCTGTGCAGCTCCTAAGTCTCGACGAGACCAGAGCTTGGCTTCGTATTTTTTTTGTAATTTCATTTCCAAGTGTACAGGGCAAAAAAATCCCGGGAAGAGAGAGGACTGAGAAGTGGCGACCTTGAGTATATTAATGATCTTAAGTATATTAATGAGGGATGGATGAGGGGGCTGTGGTTGTGCGGTGCTTCACGCTGATGTAAGCCAGGCTGCCGGCGGGATGCTCGCTATCACGGCCCGCCTCCGGCGACTGCGAGTGCCCGTGGCGGACAGACTGACGCAGGAAGGGGAAGATGATCAAGACTGACGGCTTACTTCTAGGGCGGGGTGAGGACAATTGGAGACATTACCAACAGCAGCAAATGTTTCATCAAGGAAATGAAACTACGGGGGGGGGGGAATCAAGGTTAAATTACTGCAGGTTTGGAAGAACAACAAATTTTGAAGAGGAATTGTACCTATACCTTCCTGCAAAGGAAGAAGGGAAGTGAGAAGGGAAGCATTCCTGACCCTGCCCGCTGCCCACTGATGCTGATTTTGGTGCCTCCTTAAGCTTCGTCTTCAAAACCAGCAGCCTGAAATCAGCACAGAAATTCCCAGCTACAGCCTACTCTGACATCGAGTTTAGTTCCCCATTGCTTTTCTGGTGGGTTTAGGTTATAAATAACTCTTGCTGTTTATATTTTATGGCTCTGTGAAGTGGCTGAGAAATGAGTCCTGACGTGGTAATGTCTCATCCCACTTCAGCAGCTTTTGTGATAATTTATACTGGCTCTTGCAATGAGCTATCAGGCCTTAAGTGTTAGGATCAAGCTGTGTTTGCTCTGAGTTTTGACAGTTTGATTGTGCCGATTCCGAGCTGTACGGTTTGGTATTAAATGTGACCCTGTTGTTCCAGATCCACAACGAGCTCCTCTACACAGCTTCCCACGATGGCACGCTAAGGATTTGGGACATCCGGGGAATATGCAAGAGAAATAAGCGGCGTTTGAAGAAGGAGAGGTCTGCCCAGGGCAGGAGCTCTCAGAAGGGCAGTCTGTCTCGGCTCTTCAACAATAAAGTCGGCTGTATGGTACAGCAAGAAAATGGGGAACACGAGGCCGTTGAACTTATGTGACTGTCCAGAACAGACTTTCCATCTGTGACCAAAGCTGAACCTTTTGTTTTCTGCACCACTGTGTCCATGTAAACCAGAACTTGGAAAGAGCTGGGAAAAGGCTTTGCTTGAACCTCTTTTTCAGGAGCCGGGATTCTCTGTGACTGTCAGACGGCGCCAAGGCAGGTATTGTCAGGAGGGACTGCGGTGTGGTCCAGGTGATGTACCTCTGGGTGTAATTAAGAACTTCACTTACGACTGCTTGTTTTCAATTCCCCCTGGCACAGAGGTGTTGCACACTTCTGCCTGTCTAGTATCTAATGAGCACTGTTTTCTCCCGTTCCTGCTGCCCGCGCACGTGCCCTCCGTTCGGCCGCATGTAGAAATGAAAGGTGCCCTGCAGTACGACTGCCAATGCAATTCTCACAGCTGACCTTCGGGTCAGTTTTTTGCTGATTGATTAGCCCAGCTAACGCAGGATGGCATGGCTCAGCAGGAGGAGTTTAAAGCAGGCTGGACACCTCTCTGGGAAGTGGGGAGGAGTAGGACAGAAATTAATTTTTTTTTTCTTTTTAACAAAACATAAGCTAGCGAACAAGCGAAACCTCAGACCTTTTGTACCAAGGTCAGCTCTTCACCAAGGCACAGCAGTTGTCCTCCTCCCAACAGCCTGGCGCGTTCTTTTTTTTACCTTTTACGATCTCGCGCTTAGCAAAGGAAGCATCAGCGGCCTCACGTGTCTGTGTGCTGCGGGGGTGCATGCTTCCAGCTGCCCGCTTACCCCCGGCCCGGTTCCCCAGATGGGGGGCTCCTGGTGGGCACGGAAGAGTTCCTTTGGCACCAGGTCTACGGTGGCGACTGCAGCGCCTCTGGGCAGCCTGGCCCACTGCTTGACTGTCCTGGGCGGGGGAAGGTTTTCCTTACACCCACTGGGAATGTCGAATTGTGGGATTTTTTCAGGGGAGAGGAGAGCAAAATGAGAAAATTTATTGGGTGCTCTAGAGGCGCTGTCTTTCCTCCTTCGGAGGCTATGCCTGGCCTTGGGTTGCTAGGAGCATCGGAGAAGCGGTCAAACTCAAGAGAAGTTCTCCCAGTTTTTTTCCAGGTTCATCCCTCTGATAACCACTGAGCCATGAATAAACAAGGGTTCTTCTATTTTTCTATTTGCAGATATAACTCTTTGTAGAACCAGTATAAAAATATCTAACCACATGTTTTTATTTTTATGGCTTTATTTATTCTGTACTACAGCAAGATAAAAATGCTGTAATCCTTTTTTAGAATGGACTAATAAACATGTGGCATCTACAGACAACAAACTGTCTAGTTTTTATTTGCTTCTCATTTAGAGGGGATGTGGCTGGCTGCAGATGCACAGCAGTTAAGAATGGATGGAATATGGGGGGGTGGGGGGGAAAATCTACTTCTGGAAACATTTCTTGCCTTTCCCTCACTGCTGGGGCTGGAGTCAGGCCCTCCTGCCTCCTGCAGCCACCAGAGCTCCGTTTCCCTGCCCCGGGGAAGGAGTGAGCCCAGTCTTAAGGGAAAGCTCAGCGCTTGCCGTGGTGGCACCCTGAAACCGTAACGCTGCGTCATGCGGCCGGGTCTGCCAGCGCGGCTACGTGCCCTGCTCGCCTCTCCTGATGAGCAGCCTCCTTAGCCCTTACCTGGCAGGTTTCCCCATCTAGTAGGAAACAGCATTTTAATTATGTTAAATGCCTACCAGGAGACTAATTTGGGAGGTCATCTGCATAGCGTAGGCTTCATTCCAGTGTAAACTGTCAGCATAGCTCGGTACTGGCCCTGTGGGAAATGTTTATGAGATGGTGGCTCTCGGTTGCTGGGGTGATGGCTTGCTATGCGGCTAATTTTATTTGCATTTTGCTTCTGAGGTCAGTGCTAAGTAGGAGGCCTTCGGCAGAGACGGACAGCGTTGCACAGATGGTCCGGGCTATACTTTTTGTTTAAAACTTTGCATGCAGTACGTTAGACGTGCGAGCTTATCCGGCCATACAGCAGCTGCACAGAGAATTAGCCAATGGATTTCATAGAAGTGGTAATGATTCATTAATTCCACTCTTCATGAGAGCTGCATCTCTCTGTTGCTAAACATATCACCATGTCTTCAAATACATGGTCAAAATTAACTTAAAAGTTTTAGCCAATGCCTCCTGCCTGCTGATCGCTTAAAACTGCAGGCAGTGACGCCGGGACAGTGCTGGCAGCATTACATCATTGCGTGTTATGATGCTAATTTTAAATTCCCCCAAGGACAAACGTTCGCTTCTGAAGTTGTCACTGCCAGTTTGCTACGCAAGCCACTTCAAAGAGGAGAAATGCTGCCTTCGCTGCCTGCCGACGGGCTAGCATAAGGCAATGCCACAACGCCAGCAGGTTTGGGAACCCCTCTGGCTGAAGGAAGGGAGAAATTTGCGCTTTCCCACTTACTTCTTTTGAAAACGACATCCATCACTGTTTTTCTTCTTTTCAGTCCTTTCCTGTTCTGGTTTTGCGCTGTGTGTTGTCCAGTGGTTCCTCAGCGCTCCCCGAGAGCAAGACAGGACGCGACGGTTGCTGGGGCTGCCTTTTCTCCTCAGCAGCTCACGTTACCGGCTTCAGAAATGCTTCAGCCTTCCGGGAGGAGACACAAAACGACTCCATTTTTATAACACTTGTCTGGATGCAGAAGTATGAAGCACAAATAATTCCTGGGCAGCGTAATCACTGCCTGCTTTTTGCTGTCCTTGGCTAAGGTAGCCAGGGGGAAAAAAAAAAATGCACTACCGAAAGCTCTTAAGTCCCTGCAGTGGAACCGAGCAGGGATCTGGCAGGCCAACGCTCCGCTTCCCCCAGCAGCGTGCTTGCCCTGACACCAGCTCGGTGCTAAATGCCGGGTAAGAATAACCCGTCAGCACCGGGAAGGTTCATTTAGGCCGGGCTCTAAGCACAGATCACTGCCGGTCCCCCCCCCCCCCCCCCCTCCCCCCCCGCCCCCCACCTCTCCCGCCCCCCCCCCCCCCCCCCCGTTCCCACCGGCTCCAGACGGGCCGTGAGCTCCCTCTACCGCGAGGCTGAAGGTACGGAAAGCAAATAAACCCTTTTTGAGAAAAGCTGACAAGCAGGCGTGCTGCCACAGCAGGAAACGGGACGTTACAGACCAGACTCAGACCCCAGATATTCCTCCAGAAGGCTGAGGCCGGGTACAAGAACTGAGACAGCGCCTGAGCCGGGTTCTGTCCAGCAGCTGATGGAAGAAAATCTTGCAGTCCCCGTGAAATCCGTCCGTCTTAAGCCGCACACCTGCCAGAGGGCAGGAGGAGCTGCTTGGGTTATTTGGTTACCGAGGGAAATGCCACCACCAGGCAGGGGACGGGGGCTGACGGGGCACGGCCCTGCCGGGTAGCTCCCACTGGCTTCTAAAACCAAAGCACAGAAAACTCTTACTGAAAGCAGCGGCGGCGGCAGCAGCAGCACAGCGTTACCTTTATTGCCTGCGTAACACCCGCGTGAAGTGACAAGCAGAACACAGTATAAATCCATGCACAACAGATACGGAACTGACTCTTAGAAATCTTTCAGAAGAAAAGGAGAACAGTTTGTAAGCTGATACCTCTAGAACCTCATCAGCCAGGTGTCTGATTTACAAACTCACCTTTTTTTTTTTTTTTTAAAGCTGGTATTTTAAAATGGTATAGAAATGCTTTACTTGAATACTAAGTGATTAACTTATTTCACAATAAAAATATAGTTTAGTTCTATTAAATTTTCTTCTGAAAATAAATGTTTCTATTTTTCTGCTATGACAATAAATTACAATGTATCACAAATGTAGGCTTTAAGCAGATTTATAAATAAGCGGGAATTAAGTGTTCCACCTACTGTTTAACTGAATTCAAGGAATTTAGTAAGAGATAAGCTGAAGGTGCATTTATAATCCAAACTCAATTTGTCAAGGTAAATACATGTAACTGAAGTAGATGTAAAGGGATTTAATGCTGTGGTACTTGTATATAGGATAAGTATTCATGAATGATCTGTTCCTCTTCCTCCAGTGTTAAATCCAGATAATCCTCTTCATGTTCCGGAATATCCTCTAGGATTTCATTGACTGCATCAGTCTCCATGTCTTCATCTGTTGGTGAACCAGAAGAACCTTCTGAGAAAGAAGAGCAGCAGTGAATTCAAAGGAGCCGGTACCTTCCCTCTTTCCCCAGCACGACTGCTCTGCGAGTCTGTTACTGTAAAACCGCCTCAGCGAAAACAGCTCTGCGAAGGATACTGCAGCCTGGCAATTTGTTCCTGTTATTATAAGCTGCAGGAAAGCCTTAGTTGTACAACAGGGATCACTGCAGCTCTAAAAAATAACAGAAGAGAGAATGTGCAAGTTTCCTTTCCTGAACATGAGCCAGCAGTGTGCCCAGGTGGCCAAGAGGGCCAATGGCATCCTGGCTTGTATCAGGAGTAGTGTGGCCAGCAGGACCAGGGAGGTGACAGTGCCCCTGTACTCGGCACTGGTGAGGCCGCACCTCCAGTGCTGTGTTCAGTGTTGGGCCCCTCACTACAAGAAGGACATTGAGGTGCTGGAGCGT